GAACTTTTTACCTAAATTTCTAGTTTAAGTCTACGGTGTCCTGACGATTCCTAATTTCTCCTTTGAGAGTTTGAATTGAGTTTGACATCTCTTAAAACTATATCAACCAAGAAAGAATATTTGCCTGGCGCAATCCTGCTGGATGTCCTTCATTGTTTCCCTTCACTCCTTCTTCTCCTTTAAATCGTATTTGAAGCTAATGTCAGGTAAGATCAGATCTAAATGGTTCGCGAGATCGCCACTTTCATGGCCAAAAGTGTGAAGTTATGTATCCGAAAGAAAGCAATGATGTGCCATGAAATATGCAAAAGTCTTGAGATCGGCTAGCCATCACCGATGAATACAATTCTCCTGTTGTGATAGTTCCTGCTCGGACTTTATCTCCGCACATAGACAATATGCTAGTGATTCGGCCATCGACGCCTGCTCCTATGCCCTCGGGATTTGACGAGCCATCTATATGAACATTGCAGAGTCTAAACGTCTCAAACGCAGGGTAGGGCAATTTAAGTATTCCTAATTAAAAATGCCATATCTTCTTTATTTAGCAATGCATCTCGTAGAATAAAAAAAGGGTTGAGAATTAATTATCTTAAAAATTGATTCAGCGGCTTTCAGTTAGACCGTCAATGGCCTGTTTTTTGTTTAATTAGACCCCAAAGTTCTGACGTTCAAAATTCAGCTACGTTTTTGCGAGAGACTATCAATTTGTCTTACCATAAAATATTCGATATTTTTAAATTTAAATTAAAAATTATTATTTTTTGAATTCGAGTGATTTTCAATGCATTTCGAAATAAGTTTCAATACTTCGAGAGCCCTTTAAACACCATAACTGTTACCCATACCCATACACATATACTTGTTCATATAAGCATATTATACATAAAACAGCCAACACCTTATTAACGCACTTTGCGGCTTCCCAATTTGGAGCGTGCCAAACATTACTTTTGCCACCCTTTATTTTATGCCAACTCATACACTTTATTCATTTCATTACTTCCTACACTTTACTTTACTTCAATTTCAACCTGCAGTCATTTTGCCCTTTAGCCCTTTTTTGGCTGCCAATACATTTCAGTAAACCCCTATCCCATTTTTGACCACTTATTACTCCAGCAACTCAACCGACCAAGCAACCCAATTGCGGTTCATGTGGTTCTACGATTTTACTTACAATTTTGTAATGCCTTCGCCTTTTAGTTTATGACATATGTATGTATGTATGCAAGGGTGTACTTTTGTTCTTAGTTTTATTATTTATATAAGCTTTTTGTTGTTGTAGGTACATACCTGTATAGTCTGGCGTCATATTACATTGTAAATCATTTACGGCCGCATATCCGTTAACACCGCTCGTATACATATTCACATTGAATGGCTCATGATAGAGACTATTCTTGCCGATGGAATCATTATCGTCGACGCTAGCCTGTGTTGAAAGGAGAGACAGCGAAATGAAGGAATTAATAAAGATGACGTAAAACAATAGAGTATTTGCATAAAAGGTTTATATTGTTAATGTAGGTATGTACATACATACATATGTATGTATGTGTATGATGAATAGTTGAAACTATAGAAGGTAGAATACTAAGAATGAGAATCGAGTGGTGAGAGTTATTATGGTATCATAGAATCAATTTAAACTTTTTCAAGGAAACCACAATTTGAAATGAGTCGGAAAGATCTACGCGTACACTCGTATAAGATATGTACAGTATTGGCCAATACAATAGCACCCCCAATTCAAAGTGATATTGTTTTCCACTCATGTTTATTTATTTATTTTTAGGAATTTTCAATTAAAATTCAGTTCATTCTCTTACAAAACCCATATAAACTCAAGTTTAAAGCTTTGTAAAAACCTACGAAAAATTTCAACAAATTTTCACCCCAATTTGTAACTTTTTTCTCCGAGGTGTTAGTATTTTTTTGAGTACGCAGTTTTATAGCCCATTCAATTTTAGTCTAACAAAGTGCAAATTTCAAGTGGCTAAAAATTACCGTTGATTTTTTATAATTTTTTTCGCCGAAGGTGTTGCGGGTTTCTTCCATATAAAAATACATTCGGTTTATTCGTTATATGGAAGCAAGTTCGACAAAAAACGAATGGACAGCTCCGCCAATTACGGCAGCGTGTATCAAAACCGCAATCAAAAAATGAAATTAGATCGCGTGTGCATAATTCATTCTGAAAAGTGAAATTAGGCCGTGAAAAAAAATTAAAATTGGCCGCCAAAGAAATAAGAAGGTTGCCTTTATTCACGCGCTCTTAATTCCATCCACCTTAAATCAAGGAATCCATAGTAGTCCGATTAATTAGTAATCGCACTGCACATCTTCCAGGTAGAGGGTTTGCCAACAAAAAGGCGGCGGAGTTAATGCGAAGTAACCGGACCAATAGCCGAGTAAAGTGACTCTCTATTGACAGTCAGGCTTCAAAAAGGGTATTAACAGGTCTATTCTGCGCTGGTAACATACATTTTGTAACCGTTAATTAAAGTGTCTGTCAATTTGCAAACCTTTTTCGCATTCTGTACTCTCTTGTAACCGTTAAATTTGGTTACCATCTCATAAGCTAGTAACAAAATATTGCCCCGTGAAATATGCAATACATGAATTTCCACAAATCTTCATAGCTGAATTGCTGAATATTTTCACTGCATCACCAACGTACCTAGAATCGCGGTAAGAAGAAATGGTAACATTTTTTGGTAATAAAATTTTCCGGTCACAAAATCTTCGGTAACGTGCAGAATAGACCTGTAACGCACAAAACTTTCTAAAGAAGTGCGCTATAGTGTAGAAAAGCTTTGCCTAATTATACGCCGATATGGAAGGACAGCTGAACGGGGTTCCGGTGCACAGAGGCAACATTGACCACGAGCAGACAAACTGACCAAGAAATGCCCCCAATCGTCAGACGCACCAACGGAAACACTTATACCTCATACATATAGTCAGAGTCAAAAATATGCATTCCCTTCAATTTTTCAATTCGATTTCTTAGAAAATTCCCAGCATGCAGTTTTGTAGCAAGCTTAAAGCTGCTTTTAAGCCTCTAAATTCGGACTGAAAATGAGATGTCAATCATATCAGAAATATCATTAATATGACTCTTGGGAACCTTTGGTGTAATACTGGCACCAGAAAAACCACAAATAATTATTTGAAATGGTCAGACAGTGGGGTGGGGAAACTTCTTGTCTGAGAGGGTAGGAGGACGCCTTGATAGATGTGATTACATGAGACAATTAAAGGAGTTGATATGGTCGGCACATGCATCATAGACGATACACTGTGTAGATAAAGCTTGCTTGCAGTATAAGCATAGTACAGAGCATTTTCTTTGAAGCTCTCCGGTCTGCGCCGGACTCACATGGTCGGATGTATGGGAATGGACGAGCTACATTTTCTTTTCCTTCATAAAGTTCTAAGATTCATAAAAGAGTCTGATAAGTTGTAAGTTTGCGGAGAAATATTGGCAACCTATGTCTATCTGTTTTTAGCTATCCTCTTAATTCTTCCGCTGGGCCTTAAGTACACTGCGAAATTGTCGGTATAGCAATGGAGTACCTCTAGCATCTGCTGCTTAGCAGCAGCAAGAAAAAGGCAACCGAAATTACTGCTGATATGTTCAAAAGCAACATACATACATTCACCTTCTGCTACCACTGAACCGCGATTAGGCTTTATAAGATAATTCAGACGACAACTTTCAGACAAACTACAAATATGCCTCCTTTCTCCTTTGTTCCATTTTCTGCGGCAAGTTCTCGAAACTGGCACATAGTACGTACACCTGTTATCGCTTTGAATCAAAGTAGCTTTAAATAATCGCTTCAACTATTTCCATTCGTCATAAATTCACACATTCTTCTTTTTCCTACTTTATTTTTTACTCAGCCACATATTTCCCTTGGTCACATTTTTTCTTTGGCTTAAATACCACCATTAACTAACTTGGACTTTTGAAGTTAATGCAGAGTATACATAATCCTGCGAGCTAAGCTTAAGTAGTACAACATGGGACTTGAGCAGCAAAAAATTACACTATAAAGCCACTAAAATGCATTAAAGTACAAAACAAACTATTTGCTGCGTAACGCTAAAATGGAAGAGGGTAAAATGCGCGCGCCGTATTGTTGCTATATAGCTCACTAAAAGCACACTACATACTAGTTAATAGCACAGCAGAAGTGCCAATAAAGAAAATCGAGCGCATAGAAATAAAATAGCGCATGAAGCCATATAAACTGGCACAGCAGTGGAAGTAAAAGTATAAGAATGGAAAAAATGTAAGCGAAAGGCCAACTAAATTGTAGTTGAATAAAATGGAAGTAAAAAAAAAAATAAGTCTGCTACTCAAATAAAATAAAGTAGAGGACATGTAAACACATAAATGAACAGTCCGGCATACCTAAGTATGTAGGGATGTACGTATGCACAATAGGGCGAATCGCAAAAAAAGTTACTGTTTGTCCTTTGGATTTATATTATTACTATATTACATTAGGGTGCCTCACCGAAATGCAGTGCAGATTTGGCACTGGAACTATAAGATCTATTATAATTTAAAACTTCGGGGAATTTTTTTTTCGGGAAAAATATTAAGATTTCTGTGAGTTGGACCGATTGATAAATAAAACTAGATTTTTTAAACATTGTTTCTCAATCTCATTTTAGATGATAGAAGAGTCTAAGCTTAAAAGGTCTGCATTAAATATTTAAAAATTTTATAAACGGAATTAAAATACTATGGATTTTGGTCTCAAAATATACATAATAAATCGTATATGATAAAAAATCGTATATATTTTCTGGTGAGGCACACTAATGAGCAATAGTGAGCCTACATTTTTTGTTTCGTTTTTCTTACCGCAATGTTTCTACCAATCTACGCAGTTGATGTTAGATGAAATGAAACTATATATTTAGGTCTCCAGGATGATAATTCGCTATCCGTACTTTCGGTTCCTAAACTAATTATAAAAAATATTCATCTTTTGTTCTATGTATATACAGACATTACACCGGACAGTAGGTCCGTGTACACTTCCGAATCTGAATTTTTTTTCCCAGGCAATTTTGATTTCTTTTACGATCGTTTTTTTTTTTTATTTTACAAGCTTTTATTTTCTCATATCTTCGGCATTAAGAGCCGAATATTAGAGTAAGATATATAAATTTCCTTGTCTCGAAAAGAAAATTTTTGTGAATCATTAACCTCAAGTGCCCGCTTCTAGTATTTACACACCTAATGTCAGTTAATTTAAGATTGCGAAATATCAGTCAACTTTTGCTAAAAAGGTGTTTCGATTTAAAGTCAATTTCGAACTTTAACCTCAAGTACCACATTCCAGTACATCACCGTAATCACCCATCATCCATGGCTAGCTCCATCCATTCCATCGAAAGGCACGTGGAGAGGTTAGGGGTTCCCCATAATGACTGCTGTAGAAGCTGCTGAAATAAAAGAGAGCCTGAAACCTTGCGGCACCTATTGTGCGAATGCCCCGGGTTCTGTAGAAGAAAACGGAAGTTTATGAGTTCAGTTTTTCGAGGGTTTAACCGGCAAAGTCAAAGCAGGAATAGGCCAACTTTTAGATTTCGCAGACTCGACACGTTGGTTGAGGTGGGAGGGTTCCCACAATCCGCGTAGTATCAGCCACTTCAATCTAACCTAACCTAACATTTCGGCCTACGTAAAATTCAAAATAAAATAAAATTAAAAATAGCGCGTAATTCTGATTTTATTTATTTTTGATTTATGTAAAATATCGCCAATTTTGATACCTCTTGCGTTAGTGAAACTCAAAAATTTTTTTTCCCATAAATGGGGGGACACCCTAATATAATACGTACACATGTACGAGTATATAATAAAACTATAAACCAGTTTGTATGTCATCAATGTGCATTCATTGTCTTTACTGTTTTTAGCTACTCACCTTAATGCCACCGCCATTTGGTCGATGCTTATCCACATTGCCGCCCAGCGTATTCGGATTGAAGCTATATTGGAATGCGTCGAGGACATTGCTGCCGCGTGCACGCTTCGTACGCGTCACAATACAGAATATGGCGCCAACGAGAAAAATAATTATCACCGTTAGAATAACAATAACAATACCAATTGAGAATTTCTCAGATGGTTCCTGATCGATGGGACGTGGGGCAATTACTGTGTGGAATAGAAAGGAAAATAATACGAAATGAAATAAATGTATGTATGTATGTATGTATGTGTACGTGTAGGTGGATAGTAAATGGCAGCCATGTGTTCAAGGCAGTGTACTACAACACACTTACACACAACATACCCATAAAAACTCATACAAGTATTTGTACTACACAAAGTGTTAGTTGCATATGCAATTTTGCACCATCCTTTCATGCATTAAATTAAAGATAAATATTTAAAGGGAAAATAATGTTTTCAATTATTTGCCAAGCGCGCGCACTTAATTGTTATATGCAACTACTTTTTGCTGTAGCTTTTATTCGTTTTATCGTTGTCCTCTTGCAAAACAATCCTCCTCATTTACGTTTTTTTTCTTGTGTGCTTCTTTTCTGCCATTAACTACCCGCTTACTGCTAATTTTTATACCACCTTGCCATTTTTACATAATTTCAGTGTCACTTACATTGTGGCCCGTTATTGTAGCCGAGGCCAGCGCCACCAGCGGCGCCTGCCGCCGCACCTAGGCCATCACCCATACTGCTGCCGCCATTCATAGTGCCCATTTTGCCCATGCCATTCTTTTGACCGTGATGATAGTCATTACTTTGTAATGGATATTCGCGTGTATCCTGTGGCAATGTGGCGCGTTGCTCGGACTCATCTGTAAAATTTCCCACGGCCGGCACTGTAAGCAAAAAAGAGTGAAATAAAAGTGTTAAATTGGTTATGGGCTGTGTGGGTGGAATTAAAAAGTATAAAATGGAAGTGGATAAATACATACATGAGTAGCATATTATTATTTGNCTTTTTGTTCTAAAATCTATTTCATATACATATGTATGAGAAAACAGGTGGCGGGTAAAGGCCCTCCAGGTCCCTGGGTTGCTACGGCCCTGATGTATATAAGGCAACTCTAGCTAGTGGATAGCGTAACCGCTTAGCATTCATTTAATTCAATTCATAAAAAGGTTATTTAAATGCTGACGTTTAAAAAGTTTGCGGTCATTAATGACTTAAATTATATATTAAGGAATGGAAAAGTTGGTAATTTCATGCAATTATGCAGACGTACATACATGCATACATACATGAACAAATGATCACTATATGCATACATACATATGAATGTATTATTGCGTGTATGTGCATTTATCCTTAGATCCAATTAGAAATATCAAAAAGCATTTGCCAACTCCTGTGAAGCAATGAAAAGCAGACATTCGTGAAGTGAATTGTCATTTCAAAAGTGAAATAGACAAAACCATTTGGGACAATTTGAGACAACACTTGAGGCAATTACCGCCCAACAAATTGTCACGCACAACAAACACAAGCCAGGACATAAGCAATTGCTGCTGGAGGTTATTGTTTAGGAAAGGCAAAAGCAGCTGCCGGTCTTGGCTGCTGCTGCGGGTTACGTTTACCCATTGCGACTTCATTGTTTGGCAAATAATAAAGGATGTCAAAGGATGTGAATGCAGTAGCCGAAAAGGGGAATATACCACCACAACGCTATTGTGGTGAGGAGCATGGAAATAAATGAAAGTAAATAATAAGCAGTACGACGCAATTGCCAAAAATAAACACTTGAAAATTTTCTAGTAGTCAAAAGAAAACAATAAATAGAATAATGCAAAAGAAATGCACGCAAAGAGCGAAAAAAAGAGTCTGAGAAATAAGTAAATTACAAAATAAATAAAGAAGTAAGATAAACAATGCATTCAAGTGGCTGCAGAGGTGAAAAGATGGTAACGCTGCGGTACGAACGCACAAAAGCTACGCCATATTGCCTTAAAAAGGTATTTCTACGCAAACCCTTGCAATGCAGTGGAGTGAGTTGTTGAAAAATTTAAGTGCGCTCATGAATAAATAATTCTGTGAAATCCATGTGACGCAATTGCAAATCACAAATGCTATCAATACACTTTTGTTATTTACTATTTTTATTTTTTTGCTTCCTGGGAAAGCAGCACAGTTAATCGCGCGCGCATAAAAGGATGCAAAGGCAGTACGCACAGTTGACTGCAGACAGCAGCAGTTTAGCGCGATTTCGTCGTATCGCAACAGGGGGCCGCAACCGCAGCGTTTGTGAGTACAAAAGCCAAAAGCAAGGTAAATTAGTAGTTATGAGAGCAGACGCAGCGAAAAAAAAAACGCAATGAGTTAAGCAAAAAGTAAATAAAAAAAAAAGAATCAGTTGGAAAAAAGTGAAAAAATTCATATAAAAGCGAACACAAAGCGCGTCGCACGTTAAATAGACGCACGCACTTTGACAAACAAAAACGGAAAAAATCCGAAAAATGAAAGAAGCTGCATAACAAAGCAACAGCGACAAAATAGANGCAGGGGGCCGCAACCGCAGCGTTTGTGAGTACAAAAGCCAAAAGCAAGGTAAATTAGTAGTTATGAGAGCAGACGCAGCGAAAACAAAAACGCAAAGAGTTAAGCAAAAAATAAGTAAAAAAAATAGAATCAGTTGGCAAAAAGTGAAAAAATTCATATAAAAGCGAACACAAAGCGCGTCGCACGTTAAATAGACGCACGCACTTTGACAAACAAAAACGGAAAATATCCGAAAAATGAAAGAAGCTGCATAACAAAGCAACAGCGACAAAATAGAGGGAAACCGCAGCGTTAAAAAATTAAAATTACATACGCACATTGAACAGCATACGCGCAGCGGACAGCAAATCACAGCGTCCTTTTGTTGTGGTTTGGCAGCGATATAAAGGCGAAGGATGTACAGCTGTTAAAAAAGGATATGCTTCATATATACCTACTTCAGCACTCTATGTACCATAGAAATTGTTGCTGCTCATGCGCNTAGCGGACAGCAAATCACAGCGTTCTTTTGTTGTGGTTTGGCAGCGATATAAAGGCGAAGGATGTACAGCTGTTAAAAAAGGATATGCTTCATATATACCTACTTCAGCACTCTATGTACCATAGAAATTGTTGCTGCTCATGCGCATACGAGGGGCGGTCGAAACGTTTGCGTAATCCAGCTCTTATATATGCAATACACAACTCATCAAATACGATGTTTTAGTCAAATCGGTGAGAAGACATCATCAATAATAAAACTTCTGAACCACAGCTCATTTTGTTTCCCTCGGTCTTTCTAAATATTGCCGCATTTTATAGAATGGCTTTTCAAGCAGAGCTAAACGCCATAATGGAGGACGCTCTGAGGCTCGCACTCGACTCCGCCACTCCAGGACGGCCTATCGCAATTTATTCTGACAGCCAGCCTGTTAATCTAACCTAACCTATAGAAGATAGCATGACGGAGTATTAGTCAGAGCTTACAATCGCTCCTGGTCACTGGGCGACCCGACGAAGCACGCTACCGAGTTAATTCCGTTCAGTGACGCTTTGCTGCACCTCAGACCCAAAGGGCGGAAACCGAACTATTTTAGATTGTAATTTACTCTGTATCATTCAGTGGACAAACTGCTTAAAATCAGTGCAACACTTTTTTCCAGTGTCGAATTTCAAGGAAAATTACTTAGATAGATAGATCTGTTGTTCAGTTCTACAATCCCCAGAAAGTCTTAAAGAGCTTTTGGAGGTAGGGTGAGTATGTGCTCATACTTTGGTCACAGTGACCACAACCATATCTCTCCTCGTCTCGACACTGCCTCACGCTCAAGGAGCAGGCGTAGTGGCGTCTCGTTAACCGATTTCTAACTTGTGCAGAGGTTCTCTTGGTCTGCAGAGTTCCATGAGGATGCTCGTGACAATCCTGCGTTTATCCTTAGGCTGAGGCCACGCAATAAGCAGCTTAAAATTAAAGCATATGATAAACTATTGAAGTGGCCACAACATTGAGCGACATTTCTGAATAATTGGGCGGCGCCGCTCAGGAATAAAAGCTGCTTATTGCGTGGCCTCTGCCTTAGGCAGTTTAATAAGAAGACTATATGTCATCATGTTGTATATATCTTAGTGTTGTATATCTGACTATATGACTACTATATTTCATCATGTTGTAAATATATTCATGTTGTATATCGGACCAAGAGGAATAGATTGTAACAATGCAATGGTCCTTCGCCTTGTCGGCAAATCCAAGAAAACATATTCTTGGAAATGTGCGAATCAAAGGGAAACGAATCGTTAAATATGAGAATATCATCTACGATCGTCTTATAATGTCTAAGGTCAACACAAGAAAGATGCCGAGTATTCTCGGACCACATCAGAAGAACAGCGCGTCGAGTTTTCCCTCGAGCTTTTAAATCTGCGTGGCAAAGGCAAAGCTGGACTGGAAATGAAATTTAGTTTTATAAGTTTGNTGAAAATTACTTAGATAGATAGATCTGTTGTTCAGAAGAACAGCGCGTCGAGTTTTCCCTCGAGCTTTTAAATCTGTGTGGCAAAGGCAAAGCTGGACTGGAAATGAAATTTAGTTTTATAAGTTTGAACTTGAGTTGAAGTCAGCATCACCGAGCAACTTCAAGGTGTAACGCTTTACTAGAAAGATATTAGCTGCGCCTTTTTTCGCAGTTAAGGGGTATATTGCTTTGCTATTTTTAAGAAAAAGGTGACAATATTTTATGTAAAAAATTATTACATCACACTTAGAGGGAGTATCGATGAACGAGGGCATGACAAAATAGCTCCTGGAGGCACAAAAAATCGCTCGTGTTTTGGGACACACGCCACTGTTGGTAAATATAAATTTGAATTANGCAATATTTTATGTAAAAAAATATTACATCACACTTAGAGGGAGTATCGATGAACGAGGGCATGACAAAATAGCTCCTGGCGGTAGATATAAATTTGAATTAAAAATACAACGATTACGCTGGCTGGAGCATGTTTTCTAAATGGTCGATGGCGCTCCATTGAAAAGATCCTNACAATATTTTATGTAAAAAATTATTACATCACACTTAGAGGGAGTATCGATGAACGAGGGCATGACAAAATAGCTCCTGGAGGCACAAAAAATCGCTCGTGTTTTGGGACACACGCCACTGTTGGTAAATATAAATTTGAATTAAAAATACAACGATTACGCTGGCTGGAGCATGTTTTCTAAATGGTCGATGGCGCTCCATTGAAAAGATCCTTCGACTTGGCACCCATAAATATACCACAAAATCTAAGGCGCCCACGAATAAAATGGAGGATGAAGTGATGAAATACCTGTCTGCTCTCGGGATGAACAACTCACGCAAGGGAGAGTGTCTATTGGTGAAGATTTTTGGTCCTGGCTCAAACCTCCAACGCTTGTAGTGCCAAATAAAAGAAGAGATATGAAAAGGGAGCTTCGAGAGATTCTGCATATTTTGAAACTAAGTTAACTAGCTTTTCTGGATCGTATAAAAAATCTAGAAGAATATACCAGAAAAAAAATTTTTAATTTTATATTCAATTTCTCATCCCTAAATAGTACTTTCATGCCGTAAACATTTGACCGCCCCTCGTAGTCCCAGCAAAAAGCATGACGAAATATACTGGCATTCATTCTACGATTTTTCTGAATGAGTTAAATGTGGCACAAAACATTTTAATTATTTTAAACGTTTTATAGCGCACACAAAGAACGGCTAGATATGGCCAAACTCCTATACACACACACACACACAGCCACATTCGTAGGCACTTAGTTTGACATACCTATTTAGAGTGGTGCAAACAAAGGCAAAGAGATGGATAATGGAAAACAAGCAA